ACAACACTGATCCTATTACTACTAAACTAAGCCATTGTGCATTATTCACTTAATATGCTAGTAGATTTGATTTACTAGTATTTTGCACAGAATTTTAAAAAAGATTTATTTTATTTTATTGGAAAGCCAGATATATAGAGAGGAGGAGCAACAGAGAGGAAGATCTTCCTTCTGCTGATTCACTCCCCAAGTGACTGCCATGGCCAGAGCTGAGCTGAGCTGATCCAAAGCCTGGACCAGGAGCTTCTTCAAGGTCTGCCACAGGGGTACAGGGTCCTAAGGCCCTGGGCCATCCTCATCTGCTTTCCAAGGCCACAGGCAGGGAAATGGGGTTGCTGGGTTTAGAACCAGCACCCATATGGGATCCTGGCTCTTTCAAGGTAGTGATGAGGTTCACAGGATGAGTTTGGAAACATTATTTCCTCCTCTTCTAACACTGAGAATTATGAAGCATTGTTGAAGAAAGTTCAGAAAACCCAAGTGAAACGACTTGCCATGTGCATCAATTGAAAGATTAGCTTTTGCTAAGATACTGATATTCCTTAAATTGATCTTTAGATTCAATACAGTTCTTTAAAGTATGATTTACCTGTAGAATACAAGACTGAGTAAACATAAGAAAATCATTTGGTACAATATACCTATCACATTATAGCCCCACATAAATCATCTTCACTGTTGTAAAAAGGCATTTGGTAATATTTAACGTCATTACTTGAAGAAACAAAATTAGAAACCTAGAAATGGAAGAGAGTTTCCTCATCATGATAATGAGTATTATACTGAACACTATACTGAGTATTGAGAGATGGAAAGCTTTCTTCCTATGTATTAGTGCGTTTTTCATCACTGTATTGAAATATTTAAAGCAGTCAAACTTTATAAGGAGGAGGGGTTTATTTGGCTTGGATGGCAGAAGTCAGAACAGCATGGCACAAACTCTGGTGAGGGTCTCCCTTAGCTGTGTCACCTTATGGTAGATTGCGCTGCTGGGAGAACATGCAGGGGCATGCAATTGTATCACTCAACAGGAAGTCAGAAGACAAGTCAGGAATCACACCCTGGATTCTCTTAACAATTCACTCTGGTGAGCACTTACTCCAGAAGAAAGACTTCTCTCTAGACTCCACCTCTGAGTTTCACATCATCTCCATGCTGAGAATCAAGCCTGCAACACATAAATTCTTGCAGGACAAACCACATCCAAACCATAGCAGCCTAAGATCAGGTGCAAGACAAAGACTGTTTCCTGCAACTGATGTTCTACATTTTCTAAGAAGTTCTATCCAGAGTAATTGGATAAAAAAAAAAAATAAGAAATAAAAAACCTCAAATTGGGAAGTAAGAAGTAAAACTATTGCTGTTCTCAAATGAGCTTATCCTACACACAGAAAATCCCAAGGAATCCACAAAAATACTACTAAGAGATGATAAGAAATTATCAAAGCTGTAGTGTACCAAATAAACACTCAAATATTCAGCCAGCAATGAAATCTCCCAAAATGAAGACAAGAAAAAAGTTTGATTTACATTAACATTCAAAGAAATAAAATGCCTCAGAATAAATTTAAGGAGTTAAGAAGAGATGTACACTGAAATCTTAAAACATTGTTAAAAAATTTTCAGAAAACCTAATGGAAAGACATTCAGGGGAAGGCATAAGATACTGATATTTCAATATGATACCAGGGTAACAAAAAAAAAAAGAAAAAGAAATGAACATAATAAAATTAAAAACTTATAAAATTAAAGACATTATCAAGAAACTGAAAAGTCAACCTACAGAATGGCAGAAAAATGTCTGTAAACCATGTAGCTGATAAAGATATAATACCCAGAATATATAAAGAACTCTGACAATACAACAACCAAAACATTACTCAATTAAAACATGGGTAAGGGATTTAAACAGACATTTATCTAAAGAGGATATATACATGATTTATAAGCACATGAAAAGATGTTTGACATCATTAGTTGTTAGGAAAATATAAATTTAAACCAGAGCGAGGTACTATTTCACATTCACTAGGATGAGTATATAATAAAAAACAGATGGAAAATGACAAGTGTTAACAAGAATGTGTGGAAGTTGTAAACCTTATTCAATACTTGTGGCAATGCAAAATGGTTTAGGCACTATGGAAATCAATTTGTGATCCTTTAAAAACATTACACATAATTTAGAATGACCTCACAATGCCACTATTAGGCATATACCTAAAAGTAATAAAAATAGGTACTCAAACAGATTTATATAACCGTATTTAGTAGTACTGTATGTAATTGCCAAAAAGTAAAAATTGACGTTGAATACTCCATTCATCAGCAGATGAATGAATTAAATTGACAAATACACATTTAAGAGGAGATTGTTAAGCAATAAATTCAACAACGTAGATAAACTTCATAATCATGGTAAGAAATCAGACAGAACCACACACTGTATGACTTCATTTAAATGAAATATCCAAAATATATATATTCTTATAAAGATAGAATGCATGTTGATGACTGCCAAGGTTTGATGGGAGTGGAAATGAACAGCAACTGTTTAACGGTACACTGTTTCCTTTTGGGATGATTAGAATGTAGTAATTTACCAGTATCAGTGCAATAGTTATGACAAATGCACCATGGTTATGTTAATAATAGCAGCCACTCTTCCATGGTGAGGAGGGGCATGTTGAGTGGTAAAGGGGAACTCTCTATATTGTGTATTCTGATTTTTAAAAAATTGATTTCAAAAACCTTTTTTTACCCAAAATGACTCCTTGGTTAAAGAAGTAAAACTGTAAAAAAAATGCTAATGCTAATGTAAAAGTAATGTATCATGTTTTGTAAAATACAGCAAAAATGGTATTAAAAATTCCTAGCCTTAAATATTTTCATTATAAAACAAAAATAAACTTTAAAAAAGCAAATGAACTAGGTATTGAGTTAAAAAACCCAAAACAATGAAATAGTCCAAATAGGGCATTAAAAATATTATTGAAACAGAAGCCAAAACTAATGACATTTTTTGAAAGAGTCTACTGTAAAATTGATACATCCAAAAGGTGAACTCTGTGACATGTATAATCAGGGAAAAATAAAAGGAGCATAAATGGACAAAACCAGCAATGAAAAAGAAATATCCATAAAGTTTCAGAGTTAATTTAAAGAGAGAATATTAGGCATTTCAAAAACTTGAAGATTTTGATTGGAAGAATAATTTTAAGCAAAAAAAAAAAAATAGACCAGAATAGATCAATAATAGTAGAAGATATTAGCAGAGCTTTAAAGGAGTTACTTATCAATTTGTTTTTAAACATTTCAGAGTGCAGATAACTCGTATTGAACTTTCTCAGGCTATGAAACATTGTGTTATTTTATTATTTCATTGTATGAAACTAGCCTGAAATGTCAATACTAAAAAGTTATTAATGGTAGTTTCTAGCATAATAAAAATACAGAAAATATCACTTATGAATGAAAATGTAAAAATCCATGGTAAATTACAGATCTTTGTTTTTTAATGTGCATTTACTTGCTATGGGTTAAATACAAGATTAACCAGTTTGCTTTGAGTGTTTGGCTGCTCTGCCTCTATTCTGGTTCCTGGCTTATGCCACATTATGTTTGTTCTTTTCTGCTAGTTTGAATTGTAAGCTGAATAGTGAAGCCAGAATAATAGTGGAGAGGTGTGTAAGAATATAGTCTGGAGAGAAAAAGTGGAAATCTGTAAATTTAGTTGATTTTTATTTTAATCAACCAATTTATCATTTTAATCTTAACAGAGACATCATGTGCTTTGACTATAAACTTATCCTTACTACTGAAGTATCAGATTAATTGTATGATTTTTGATCATATAATTTTTTAGAGTTTTTTTATTGGAAAGATATACAGAGAGGAGGACATATAATTTTTTAAAAAAATATAACTGCTATATTGCATAACAGCATAATCCTATGTAGTAGAAAAATTTGTATGGTTCTCTCTGATGAAACTAAGAAGATGTTAGACATGCTTTAAGAAGAAGTATTGACTTCTTTCTTAAATATGTCTATAGTAAACTATGACATCTGGTAGTCATTTGATATTTATGATAAATGTATTTGTCTCGGACCAACAGCCAACGTCATTTTCAGTATTAACCACTAGGGAAATTCCCACTGAGATCAGGAAGAAGACAAGATTCAATGTTCTCTCCTCTGTTATTAAACTGTGTTTCAGAAGTTCTGGCTGATGTGCTAACAAGGAAAAAGAAAGGAGACATGTTTTTTTCCAATTAGCTTTTAAATGTGAATTACCTAAAATAATTTAGAACATAATTAGAAACATATAGAAAATACTATATATATAGTATATATATATATGTGTGTGCATATATATACAAATAATATAAAGAAGAAGCCAAAATCAGATACATTGGAATCCATTTTGCAACCAAGAACCTTAGTTCATTTGAGGTGTGAATGTATTCAGAGACAGTAGTCCACAGTCAGAACGGTTCTATACTGGGAGGAAGAAATTAGCGTATGAGTTCCATAAATTCTAACCAGAACTTTTTTCAAGGGTATTTACCAGATTTATTTTGAACTATCTCATCAGCCATCGATGCTATCATGGTCACAGATATTTAAGAGAAATAACTGCACTTGGTTCTGTGGCCTCAGAAGGCAGATAGACAAGTAACTCAGGCAGATTGTACCAGGTATCTAGGCCCTAGTCCTGCCCTGATTCTGAAGGCTGTTGTATGGAGGCAGTCCAGTGTGTCTACCACGTGGTGCTGAAGTGTGCCTTTGAGGGAATGTAGAGATGGGGTGGCCTATTGTCATGGGGTTGATGTGGCTGCTCTGTGAACTCGGCAAAATCATTGTCCTTTTTTTGTCCATCTTACTGTAGTCAGGTAGGACAACCCTTAAAATACTGTTTTAGTGTTTAAAGAAGGCAGGGTAGTGGTAATAAAGTAAAAATAAAGATGGAAAAAGAAGTGTTCTGAGTATATATTTAACCTGTGATCGTCTTCCTTCAGTGGGTGCTCAGTTTGACAGCTATTAATGTAGCAATGGTGATAATAGTTCTTGATGTTTCATCCGTCTGTTCTGTCAATTTTTCCTTTAAAAAATATGACATCTTTAATATTCATTTTTGATCAGGAAAATAAAAAGGCCAATTGGTAACAAAATCAAAGTAGATTACTGTAACTGTGTTAGCTTAAGCATTGTAACATAGGAAAGACTAATTACTTTGGTGTAATGAAGTGCTTGTTATAGTGGATTTCTAAGGAGACAAAAAATAGTAAATGTAACTAAATGAAGAGACATACTGGATTTGGCTGGAATTGATTTTTAAAATGTAATAAAGAAGTATGACTACATACAACATTAATTTACAACCTCCTAAGTCATGTACAATTTAAATTAGGCGCCATATCTCTCAGTCTTATATTATATAATAAAAATCATTCAGTGTATAAGCCTTATATTCCAGATATAAATCTAAATGAATGTTTTTGAAGAAGCATAAAGTATAACTTAAAAATTTAAGAACTACAAAGATTAAAATATTTTTAATTTTCCTTGGATCCTGACTAGGGGATCCCTTATTTAAAAGGCCAGTTTTTAACATGACTATGAATACAAAGATATTAATGAGTCACATCATAAAGCACTCACACAAGGCAGCAGTGGAACAACAAATCTGCAATAGTACAGTTAAAGACATTCAGGCCGTCTTGCTAGCCTAAGTATCTTAAGAACTACTAAAATTTGATTACCTCTTCTCCAGGTTACAATCTTCCTTTAGAGACTATTCCTTTGTAAAGATGTAGGCAAGACTAGAAGCTTTTTCCTCAGGTTCTACCAGTACCACCCAAAGTGTCCTGAGCTCTCCCTTGTGTTGAGCTGGGAACTTCCACTGAGAAATCCCCTGACTTGAAGACTTCCTTATTTGTAGCTACCAGCAGCCAATCATGGCAAGACATTGAAATGAAGCAAAGACTACCAGAAAATATTCTGTAAACCACCCGTGACTGTAGCTCCAACTTCCTTTTGAAACAAGAATATTTTACTTGAATAGTTAAGGCATTTTAACTATTTTTAAAAGTCAGAAATTATAAAAACAAAAGTGTCAGAGTAAGCATATTTTCATGGAAGGAAATCTGAAAGGAAGCTTATTTGATAAATGACTTAATGGACTTTAAGAAGTCACCTTTTGAACCTAAGCAGTCTAGTTATAAATAGCAGGCAAAGATGTAATTTGAGCATAGAGGTCTGCTTCAGGGCTGCAGATTAAGATGAAGACTAGTTTGATAATGATATTTGGTTAATATTATAGATTCTGACCCCAGATACTCAGAAGAGGGATAAATGAGCAAGGCTGTTGCAACAGCTCCTCTGCTTGGAGAAAAAGGGTGTGCTGTTTGTATTGATGAGTGTGTAATATGGCATACTGGAGAAGTCTTAAACACCTGCACTACTCTCTGGCTATTTGGAGCAAAACAAGTTTTATGGGCAAATGGAAGGCAACATATGCACCACAGACACTTTTCTTTGTTATAAAATTTTAGAGCTGGAAATGTCCTTCGACACCATCTGTTCCATTTCCTTTTTATTACAGATGAGAAAACAGGAGAGGATAAATACTCAGCGTCACAAAGGAAGTTAGAAGTAGATTCAGATTGAAACCTGAGTCTTTGGAGTCCAAGTGTGTCTTATTTTGCTTATCTTTCCTCCCTTTTTTCATTTCTTTCCTGCAATATTCTCTTGGATATCAAATTACTAAACTGAAGTAGACTGTAGCAAAATGAGCTATCTCCTTGTTCCGCTCCTACATTTTTATAGATGAGCTTGAAGCTATGCCCAAAGTCTCACAATTAGTAAAAGATAATTCAGACTTTTCTGACTCTTAGTTTCTTATCAACTCTTCTATTTTTAAAACACTACCCTCTCTTAAACTTGCATGTTAAATAAATCTGAAATATTGTTTCTTTTTTTTAAAGATTTATTTTTATTATTTTTTCATTGGAAAGGCAGATATACAGAGAGGAGAGACAGAGAGGAAGATCTTCCGTCCGATGAATCACTCCCCAAGTGAGTGCAACGGCAGATACTATGCCAAGCCGAAGCCAGGAGCCTTCTCTGGGTCTCCCACGCGGGTGCAGGGTCCCAAAGCTTTGGGCCATCCTCTTCTGCTTTCCCGGGTCACAGGCAGGGAGCTGGAAGGGAAGCGGGGCTGCTGGGATAGAACCGGCGCCCATATGGGATCCCGGGCGTGCAAGGCGAGGACTTAACCACTTGTGCCACTGCGCCGGGCCCCCTGAAATATTGTTTCTTATGAAATTGTTCTACAAAAATAATTTTGAATGTATCTAAAGTATTGAATAAACTTACAATTAAAACATTACATATATTTATCTAACATATAATGAAGTGTTTAATTTTTTTCTTTAGCATTATGTGCTTTATAACTGTTATGGCAAATTGTAAAATACTGTGGGTTCTTGTGTGCTAAGACAAAATAAGACTTATTTTTAAAAAATATTTATTTATTTCTGTTGCAAAATCAGATATACAGAGAGGAAGAGAGACATAGAGGAAGAGCTTCCATCTGTTGATTCACTCCTCAAATGGCCATAACAGTTGAAACTGAGCTGATCCAAAGCTAGGAGCCAGGAGCCTCCTCCGGGTCTCTCTCTTGGGTGCAGGGTCCCAAGGCTTGCACCGTCCTCAACTGCTTTCCCAAGCCACAAGCAAGGAGCTGGAAGGGAAGCAGGGCTGCTGGGATTAGAACCGGTGTGCATGTGGAATCCCAGTGCATTCAAGGAGAAGACATTAGCTGCTAAGCTATCGCACTGGACCCAGAGTAAGACTTATTTAGTAGTGTAAAAATAGGAGAAACTAAATTAAAAAGTGAGATAGTCACTGATGAAAGGAGAGCTTCTCAAGAATTTATATTTTTGAATGAACAGGGTTTTGAAAACCCAACTTTTTGAAAACAGCAGGACTCCTGTTTTACCTAGGAAATGTCCCTTTCTTGATCTATCCATCCTGGTTTTCCACTCCTCTGTCCATGTCTGTGGTTGAGCTTGTCTGATACCTAATCTCCTTTAGAAGTGGCTAGTCCTAGGAATGCTGTCCTCGACCTGGTTTGGCCTTGCTTGAGAAAGCATGCCGAAGCCAAGATGAAGAAACAATGGTTAAAGATGCTATTTGGAGGAATTCTGTAAGAGCATGAAATCTGAAGCTGTCACCAACCAGCTCTGTTTCTAAGCAGATAGGTGAGATGGATGCAGGTTTTCATCTTTGTTATCACTAGGGTTTCTAGTCCCATTTCTTCTCACCTCTGAGTGGGTGTTTGGGAAACTTTGCTCACATAATTTCACATTTAATCTGTTCTAGGCATGAAATTTATGGGAGCAGTAGAATTCTGGATACTATTTGCTAATGGGTAGAGGTGCCAGGGTTTTACTGGCCCATGGCCGTAGGAGGACTTACTCAATATGTGGTATCTTATTGTAAATGCAAAGTTGGAGCCTATAAGACTGATAGACACTTTTTCATGACCACTGCAGCAGCTATAAACTTTGTACCTAGGAGAGTAGCTAATACTCCTAACTTGCAACTTAACCTGAATTTGTGCCAAAATACTGCTACTCCTGTGGGAATGCTTACATTTTATCTCCTTGTTGTATAATTAAATGTGTAGCCATGGTGAATGGATAAAGGGTATTTCATGGTAAAGTGATAAAGAGAGAGAGTCAGGGTAGGGAAAATGTCTTTACTCCTTACAGTCCTTTTACTTAACCTGCAAAATAGAAATTGACTATGTGTCAGTAGGTGTGTGTGTATAATATATATATAGGTATGTATGTATATATATGTATGTATATATATGTATGTACTTAATATGCTTGTTTAACTATTTAATCCATAAACATTTATGATTATATGTTAGAATCCATTCTTGTTTCAGGGGCTGTTAAAATTCTTTTATTGTCCTTGAGCAGCTAATCATCTTTGACAAAGACAGGAACAGAAATATCTACAAGGTGCTAGGTGGGCAGAGGCAGTTCTCAGAGCTAGGTATGCTCTTGAGAGATTTTTAGCACACAGGATGTAAACAAATGAAAACATCAAGGATTGAGACTTTATTTATATTTTCAGGAAATTAGCTCTGTTGTCTTGTAGGCTATACTTGGAGGTTTTGGCTTTTTTCCATAGCTTTGTTACCAACAGTTTTCTAAAAATATTTATTTGCTTTTTAATATTGTAGAAGGTTATTTATAGTTTTGATGGTAGACACCATTTTAGTGTTTTGGCAACTATCTTAGGTAAAAAGATGAAGCTGTGAAGAAGTACCTTAGGCCTGTCATTTTTTTAAAATAGTAATGGATGTAGGAGTCCGGCTTCCCCAGCATTCTGTCCTCCTTATTATATGGTTACTACATGGTTTTGGCTGTCAGAAGAAAGAGAACACTTAGCAATGTATGCCAAATCTAAGATTGATAGAATCAAAATCTAACAATATCTTGACAAACACCAGTAATATAGGCTGATGCCGACCTAAACTTTAGCAGAAATGGCTAAGTTGTGTAGTTACTAGCCCATTCTTACCACAGTCACACAATGCAAACATAAAAATAGAAACAAAGTTAAGCCCAGAAAGACTTGGTTGGATAAAATTGTGTAGCCTTCACGCAAAATTTACTTTTAGCTTGAGTTGGCATTATAGGGGTACTAAAAAGTCTTCCAAATAATGAAGAAGTAGTTTTGTTTTCTGACCCATTTTCTAGGTGCTGCTCATTAAGATCATCTATTGTGAGAATGAAAAGTGTTTAACTTAGAAGAAATGAGAAAGACATAACTATATTCAAATATCAATTAAATTATTATATGTATCTCCAATGAAGGTCGCAGGTAATGCGGAGGAGCTGTGAGGAAAACAAAACCTGGTTCATTATAGAAAGATCAGCATTCCAATGGTCAGTTATATCATGGGTCACTTTGGTAGAAATGACTTCCCTGTTCCTAACAACAACCAAATATGTGATGAATGAGTATTATTTTGGGATTTTAAAAAAAGATTTATTTGTTTATTTGAAAACGTTATATAAAGAGACGGAGAAGGAGAGACTGGTCTCATTGTCTAGAACTGAGTCAGGCCAAAGTGCCAGGGCTTTCATTGCATATCCCACAGGGTGGCAGAGACCCAAGTACTGGAGCCAGCCCATTACTTTCTTTTGACCTTTAGAAGGGAGCTGGATCAGAAGTATCTGTCTCCAAAGCCAATGCTCATTTTTTTTCTTTTCTTTTCTTTTTTTTTTTTTTTTTGCTAAAGTCCATGTTTTTAACTTTTGCATAGTTAAACTGTTTTTTATAGTGTACTTTACTATGGCATCTGTTAATACTAAGGCATTTTAGGAGAGCTGAAAATAATTACACATATTTTCTCTACTACTTTTCATTCCCTTTTATAGATGTTTGGGAAGTTTCCAGTCTGACAAGAAGTTAATGGACTCAGACTCTATGGTATTCAGTCCCTGCTCTACATCCAGTTTGGTCTTCGATATTCACATGAAAATAATATAATTGGAGGCTTAGGAGGATAGAAAAGGAAGGTGATGCAAAGGGGTAGTTCTTGTGGGATACAATAATTACACATTGGTCATTTCAGAAAGTAGGGAGCTTTGGAGTAAATTCAATGCTTTAGTTAAGGAAAATGGTAGTAAATACTTTGTTTCTGCAGATTTA